TTTATAGGAGCGCACCGGGTAGTTGCACATGTTGATGTACGTGTGGCGTCGCACCTTTTCGTCCACGTCCCAAAGGCGCTGCAATATGTGTGGCACGGTTAGATAGTTGCGGCCCATGCACGAGATGATGCACTGCCGCACGCTGGACGACGGATCCGAGCTTAAATGATATTGATAGGCGCACAGTACCGGATCGTTGGGATGATCCGGCACCTGCAGACGCTGCATGGCCAGCACCGCCTCCTTGCGCACGCTGGGCGACATGTCCTTCAGCCGATCCAGCATATAGTGGAGAATTTGATCGCATTGCGAGTCATCTAAAGCCGCATACGGGCCGAGATGTTTCAGTATGAGATTCACGAAGAAACAAATGCGATAGCGTATGTGCGGGCTATTGGAAATTGTCTGCGAAACACGAAATGTAAACAAAATAAGCATATGCGATAAGAAAGTACAGTAAACACCCACCGATAGCAGCCAACAAAATGTTTCGGCCAAAATAGGATGTGTTTTTTCCGACTCGAAGCTGGTGACGAACTTGGCGCAGAATGCAAGCGCCGTATTGCCATACTCGTTGCCCTCGTCCGCCTCCAGCACCGTCTTGAACATCTTGATGAACGTGAACATGAAGGCGTCGTGGTCCAGCTGCAAAAAGAGGCCAAAACGTGTCAGATGGGGGTGTTACACGAGGAACTGCAACATTAATTTCGCCCTGCCCCCCTCTCGATAACATACCTTCGAGTACAGTTGCTTCAGCTCTTTGATGTAGCGCTTGTGGAAGGTCTCGTTGAGCTGTGCATTCGAGAGGATTGTGTACATTGGCCCTTGGCCCACGGTGCGACGCTCGCTGGCAAGGCTGCGGCTGCAGTTGCCGTTGCTGCTGCTGCTGGTCGAGGCGGCGGCGCCAGCAATGGACGCCGCATCGACGCTGCGCTGCTCCTTTTCGTTTGCATTTTCTTTTTCTTTAGTTTTTTTGTTGCGCTTCGCATTCGGCCGTCCCTTCTTGACCATTGTATTTGTATTTTGTGTTTGATTGCGCCGTGCGGCTCTTCACTTTATCGTATCTATCGATTATTGTGTTACTTAACTTATTTCCTTGTTGTTTGTATTTTATTTTGCACGCTCAGTTCTTCAAATTGTACACAGCGCAGTTGAATTTCGTTTTTTTTTTTTGAGATGCCAGCGAACAAACACAAGCGTCGCGTTCTTCTGCATTCTGCATTCCACCCCATTCGTGCTGCCGTTAAAATGATTTTTTTTCAACTGGTGCTGCCAACTCGTCGCAAATGTTGCCAATGTTTGCCTCGATCGTTTCTGCTGTCGGGTAAATTTGAATTTAAAATTAAGGTCATTAATTATTTTATTTTATAATTTTATAAGCAAATAGATATATTAATATATTTATAATTCAGGAAAGCACGAGCTGTTAAGTCAGAGAACATTTTGTATGCAGAAAATAGAATTAATTTAGGCCATGCCAGGCAGCTATTTTTTATTACCAATTGCAGCGTGACAAATGCTCACTGCTACAGCACGAATTGTAATTTCTTTTCGTTCAAATTGTATTTAACCCTTTCTGAAATTTGATTAAAGATTATTATTCGGAACCGTATTGGAGTACATTTACTACAACTTTGTGAGAATTTATCCAATCAATGCCTTTTCAGTCAGTTATTAATGTAAATGTTTAGAGGAATAGAGATTATTGTTCAACTAAAATGGCGAGCGGAACAAAGCGCGTTTACGAAGCTCGCTCCAAATACCCGGATCGTACCAAAAACATTGAAAATTCTTTCCCGCCATTGACTGTCGTTATAAAAACTCTGGAAACGGGCATGTTGCTGCTCAGCTCGAAGGAGGAGCCCGTATTACAAGTTGTACTCAGTCATTTGGCGGAGTTTGCTCGAAAACAGGATGAGAATATAGTGGAGCTGAAGAAACGGCAATTGCTGGAGGTGCTGATCGATAAGGAGATCTATATGAATGCGGATAATGTTATTATCCGCCGCTTCGCCTTGTTCCTTATCACTCTGGTGCTGGATAACACGGAACTGGGCGAATATGAAACGGAGAAGATCGCACAGCTGCTCGACGTGTGCTTCAGTTTCTATCTGAAGGAGAGCGATGAGTTCTGCATCGAGTATCTGACCTATATAGTCAATTTGTGTCTGCGCGATCCGAAAGTGGCTCAGAATGTTCTTGAAAATATTGAATTTCTTGAGAAGTTCAAGAACATATTCATCAACTCGGATAATCCAGATACTGTGCTCAATTCCATTGAGGCATTGCACAAAATTTTACAAGTCCAAAGCGCCGAGGAGATGCTGGAGTTTACCACACTGCCGGGATTCCCGGTTGATCGCATCATCTGCGAGCTGACCAACGAGTTCCTGGAGATACGTCTGGCCGCCATCAAGGTGCTGAAGACCCTGCTGGCCGATACCAGCGACGAGAGTGTCTTCGAGCCACTGCATCGTTGCTTCTTTGTGCTGCAGCAGCTGGTCAAAGCGTTCTGTACGAATCCCAAGGCGCCCGACGCCCTTGGCATTATCGAGGTGCTGGCCACGGCTCTGCGCTCCGAGAAGATGACCAAGCTGTTCTTCGAGCAGAATCTCTTTGACCAGATGGTGGAGCATTTGAAGGAGGACATGGACTTTCTGCCACCCGATGTCGTCTGCACCATCATTTCCATATTCGCCGAGGCGGCCAAATACGAAAAGTACCTGCCACGCATCCACAATGCCAACATTACGGCAATGTTCCTCAAGTGCCTGATGAAGAGCAAACCGGAACCAGCTCCATTTGTCATCATGGGTCTGAATCGCATGAGTGCGCTTCCGGAGGCACTGCGCACCATTGTCGCCGAGTATGAAAATGGGGCCCTCACATGTTTGGTTAACCTGGTGCGTTCGCCGGATGTGTCCATCAAGACACGCGAGCAGGCCGCCGAGTTCATTGGCAGTCTGCTGGTCAGCTCATTCCGCGCTACATCCGAGAAGCTAATGGACATCAATGTAGCGGAAGCGTTGGCAGCCACCCTAAGGCAGGGTCTGCCGGAACTATCGATAGATCTGATATTGTCGATGCTGGCGATTATCGAGAGCTTGGCCTCCAATGATGAGTATCGTACGATTATGGGCGAATATACGCCGCTCGCTGAACAAATTGCGCAGCTACTTATGGTAAATATCTAACAATCGGTTACCGATAGCTTATCGGAACTATCGTTTATATATCGATATTTATCGATGCTCGTCTATCGATTTTCATTTATCGATTTATCGTTTACATTTATAGTCTAAAAATTGCCTTTAACAGCGCTCCTATGCTCACTCCATCTTGGTCCACAACATATTCCGCTGCCTGTGCACCATTATCGACGAGGAGCCCGTTCGCGAGGTGCTGCTCGGCAATTACATTGTATCCTCAATAAAGCGCGCTCTCAAATCTCTGTCCAATCTGGTCAAGACCGCTGTCACCAACTTTATACTACAGACCACACGTTTCAATTGCTTCGTAGATGCCTACATTGATCGCGGCATTCTGGAGGTGTAAGTTGTTCCCTTTCAAATGGAATATCCAACTGGCAAATTGTATTTATATCCAATTCAACTCCGATTTTCTTTACAGGCTGATGCTGTTCCAGAAGCACGCGTTCTGCGTTTCCACTTGGGGTCCGGCTATTGAGAGCATTCTGTCCAAGTGCCCCACCATGAAGTTCTGCATTCGCAACTGTTTGGGCTTTACGGATATAACCGCTGGCAAGGATTTCTATGTGTCGAAGCGTAAGTTTGGGGATTTCCGCTGCTTTCAGAGTATATTGCGACAGGACTGTTCGCCGCTGGAGGCCGTGCTGGTGGTGAACTTTGACCGACCCTCTGCGGATGCGAACGATGTGATTTGTGTGCCATCTTATTGCCTGCACGATATCGATATTGCGGGCGACCAAAAGTGGGCTTATTGCAAGCGACCCGCTGATACCAAGCTGCCTGAATTCCTCGAGGCGCTTAACGAGACCTTGGCCGTGGGTATTATGAACTTGGCAACTATTTCCGACTAGCATTGACCATTTACTGCCCTTCCAGTTGCATGGCCTTGTGGAGAATCCAGATAGAATCAGACGCAGCATTGACTTTGAGAATGTGGCCAAGCGCAGCAAGATCATAGCCGAGGCCGTGAACAGCGTCATGTCGGAGGACATCAAGATACTCGATCTGAACACCACCGAGGAGTGCTCCCGCCACACTGTGCGCTGTCATTTGGAGGCCCTGCGCCACATCTTCCACACCAACTTCATACCCTTGGGCGAGGTGCGCAGCGGCTGTCAATTTGAGCGTGCGATCCTCTTCAAGTGCTTCGCCGATCAGATTGGCCTGCCCTGCACCCTGCAGCGCAGCGTCGACGGTCGCATGCTGTACAACGAGGTGCCGTTGCCGCTGGAACTGGAGAAGGACATACATTGCGACAAGAAGACCCTGAAATTCATGCCCTGGCGAATGCTGCGTCCCACACACATTGTTGACCTTATGTACAATATAGGCGAACTCTACCCCATGCAGTGCCGTCAGGCATTACAGTATTTGCGTCTCTACTGAAGCTAAAAATTCCAAAGATTTTATTGTTGTTTTTATGCAAAATTTTGATGTTAGCCCCAATAAATATTCAGTAATATTAAAGTGGGTCAAGCGGCTGAAATACCGTATCCTTCTAGTTAATTTTGTTCATGTTTTTGTTGGCGTCGATTCATAATAAAAAATTCTCCGATTCGCTCCTAAAAAGTGCAACCTTTTGGTAAACCACTTTTTATTGCCATCCTTATCCTTGTTAAGACCATCCCGAATCTCATATTTTGATCGGGTTTTTCTGAATGCTTTCGTTTAATTCTCAACTAGTTTATGCTGTCCTTGGTAAATACTCTTGGGTTTGTGTCTTCGCTAGCCGCTAGAACTGCACCCACTGCGCATGTCATTATCGGCAGTTCTTTATATTGTGACATTCGCTGTCAAACGACATCGTTTGGTTCTTCCAAATAAACAAAGGTCTGCTCGCGGCTGCTCGGGTCTTTAGAATAAGTTGTTTAGCTGGCTGGAAAGGCGTCAATTGGCCCAGTTGGCGGCCAACACAGCATGTCCAGCATGCCCAGAGCTCTCCTAACGCTCGCCTACTTTGTGCTCACCTCCTGCTCCATTGTGTTCACGGCCTGCGTCAATAATGGTAAGTGAGGCGACCTTCGACCCGAGCTGGGAAAATCAATAAAGATGCGCATCTAATTGGATAGTGACTGGCACGGGCACCAGCTCGCCCGGATCGGGACCCAGTTCGGCAGTCAGCCTGAGCACTTCGCTGACCAACGACGGGCACATTCATCGCACGGCGGCGGCCATCGAGCGGGTGAACAAGCTCTGGTGCTATGCCTGTGATACCATGGACGACGGTCTGGCCTGCGTGGATGTGCTTGAGCGCAACAGCACGGCGCTAATGAAGAAGTGCCAGGGCGAGGAGTTCATCTGCATGGTAAGAGCTGCATCCTTTCGAGCGGGATCTCTCTAATCTCCTCTTTTTGAAATAGGTCAAGCGCTTCTCGTACACCACCAGCACTGAGAACTCCACGAGTTCGCCAAAGATGTGGTCGCTGGATCGACGATGCGCCGCCAACTGTGAGCCCGGCTGCATTGTTATAGGTGAGCGCACCAAGCTCTATGCCTGCACATCCTGCTGCGAGGAGTCCTTCTGCAATACGGGACGTGGCGGCGCCGCTGGCATCTTCCATCGCGAGGCAACGGGCATTGGCACGCGCATCTTTTGGCTGGCAGCCCCGTTCCTGGTCAACATATCGCTAATGCTCTACAAGCGGCATGCCGGTCATGTGCTCATCCAGCTACAGTAGTCCCTCGTAATGCAGCACCGACAACAAAGGGCGTGTGTACCTCAAGGAATTTAGCCAATTTAAGTAGCCAAACTAAGCACTCCACTTGCTCAAATCTAATTGAATAATTGAACTAATTAACTGTACGAGTTGCCCGCATTTGACCTACTCATAGATTTAGATATACAACTATATACTAGCCTGCATATAAGAATTTGAGTGTGTACTTGTGTATAGTTAGCCAATGGTCTTGGTGTGATAATAAATGAATCCAAGTGTCAGTCTGTGCGAGTATTTATCACTTCGTCTCTGAGGGTAGAAAAGTCAGAACCAGTTGTGAATTTGAAATGTATCTTAGAAAAAACTGCAGCCAGAACCAGTTGTGAATTTTAAATGCATCTTAGAAAAACCTCCAGTTGTTATGTATTCAAAAAACTCCTCTCCAAGAAATTTTAGATAATTGGTTTGCAGCATTTGTTCAGTTCTAAACGAATTTTAGAATAATTTACGACTTCTGAGTTAAGCGAAGTAAATTATCTTCAAGCGATGCTTAAATCCCTTGAGCCTTTGTATAACTTGCAGTTAATTCCCACTTTAGAGCAGATTATAAATACAATGAGAATGAGGGAGAACAATTGCAATTAGGGTATTAATTTCTAATTGGAATATTTCGAGCACAACTGATACAGTTTAGAGTCCCTGCACATGGTCTGCATTAATTTATACCCATGCCACGGCACATTTCCTATCCAGTTGGAAACATGTGTAGTCCTTTATCCGCTTAGCTCGGTTTCCAGGCTCCTTAAACCGTTCATTTGGTTTCGTGAATTGCATTACATATCCGTTTGTGTGGCCGTCTGTGCGAGTGAGTCCGGCTTTGTCTCTTCCTCTCCCCTGCATCCGCATCCGCATGCGACACCCGTGTTCCCACATCATTCACAACCATCCACATCCGTTGAGTTGGCCACTCGAGGCTCACTCTGGGCGGCATTTCCGGGCAGACAACTTACTTGCAGCATGAATTATTTATTGGACAAAGTATTCATAAGCAGACAAAGTGGGTTAGCAGCTGCAGCAGCGGGAGAAGGAGGAGGAGGAGCAGGCGAGGGACAGTTGGAGAGGTTGTGTTCCTAATCAGCTGCCCACCCATTCTCGCTTTTTGGCTAATAGGGCTGCCGTTAAGAGCAGATATTTGGCAATATGTGTATCTATGCTTTGTGGGCGTGGCCTGCCCACTCATTTGAGAACTCACACATAATTTGTTTTCATCAGAGTAAGTGAGGCGCGGAGTGGACAACTTTCTCTTTGACTTCAACTTGGGCCGTCTCCTGGGTCCAATTGCAATTATTTTGCTTTGGTTGCGTGTAAGTTATGGCCTGAGGGGGAGAGCCACATCTTGGCTAATAAACAGAAGACAAATCTGTGCATTTTGTTGCTTAATTTACATAAATGGCCAGCGGCAGCAGCAGCAGCAGCAGCAGCAGCAGCAGCAAGAGCCTGTCCACTCGCAGGAGACGACAGCAGGGCCTCAGCTCGATAGGGTTGTCGTCTTGGTGCGCCGCAGCGCATTCATCATGTAGAGTTGTTTGGTTTGCTGGAGGGGCGGCAAGGGTGGGTAGGGTTTGTCCCCTCTAGTCTATTGGCTTTTTGCTTTATGTGCTTTGCTGTGTGTGTGTTTCGGCGTTTATGTTGCGGCTTTCATGTCGTAAATCTTCATCAGACGGCAAATTACGTGGTTGCCAGCCGACGGCTCTAACCAACACCGCAGGCACCTCTCACTCTCACTCTCACTCTCTCTCTCTCTATCTCTCTCTCTCTCTCTCTCTCTTAGTGTTTACCTCACTCTGTGCAACTGAGCCTGGCCACTTTTTGCAGCGGCAACTGTGTTGGCCATATCCGGCAAACAATAAAGTGACCGCAATGCCAGGCTTTCAGCCTGTGGGTGGTAAAAACAATAAAGCGGTGACAAAAACCAAACAAACAGCAAGCAACAACAACAACAACAACAGCAACAACAGCCAGCAACAAAAACAGCTGCAACAACAACAACAATCGCGGCAGCAACATCCCATTGACAACAGTTTCATTTATGAAAAATAATAGCTGAAGCGGCAGCAATATGCGAAATTTATTATTATATTTGCGTTGTGCCGCAAAAAAGCAAACGTTGCCGACGCCTGTTAACCCCCCTGTTAACCCCCCTGTTGCCCGAATCGCCCCTGCCCCGACAGTCGCCCAATGTCGACCCCGAGACCGATCCCGATGCCGACCTCAATATAGTTGGCTGGCGCTGGTTGTCATTGCGCACGACGTCAATGGGCAGCTGCAACACGGCAACAACAGCAGCAACAACAGCAACAACAGCAGCAGCAACAGCAACAGCAATAAAGGCCCACAGCAATTGTTGTTGTTGTGGTTGTTGCTGTTATTCGTTTTATTCATTCATTATTATTGCTACTTTGGCGTTGTTCGCGTTTTTCACTCTGTTGTTGTTCTCGTTGTTGTTGTTTTGCTGTGTGATTTCTGGCGACACGTTTATGTTGTTGTTGTTGTTGTCGCTGTTCTGGCTTCTCGTTAGTCGCGTTGTTCTTGTTGCGGCAAGTTCACAAAGAAATTTCAATTAAAATGCAACAATGCCGCACTCCATCATCAGCGCGCCAAGCTGACAAACCGCGCACATTGCCCCTACCCCCGCCCAGTTCCTGCAATGTAACAAACCGTGCCGAAAGAGCAAACGACCCGCACAGCCACCCACGAGCTGCTGCTCCCCCACAAACTGCAGCTGGAAGCAGACTGCGTGGCGCGCTTTTTAAGGGGGCTGCTTTAAGAGTTACAGACGCAAACCCAAATAGTTGTGGGAATTACTGAGATAATCAAAATTGTAGCTCCAATTCCTACAAGTTATAATTGCCGAAGAAAACCTTCCTCATAGTTTCCTTTTCATTGCTTTGCATTTGCCTTGAAGCTTTAGTTAATCCTATTCCCCTTTTTGTGTCAACTTTTTGGGCAACCATCGATGTTGATTTGTTGCTGCTGTTGTGCCTGCGTCCTTTTGGTCTGTTCTAGGTGATAAATCTTTGTCGCCAGGCAAATGCGAAACACGGCAGCAACTGCAACAACAACAACAGCAACTGGTTGCAGCCAGGAGAAACGGAGCAACCAATTGCCGAGCCCAAACAGGCGTAACAGCCTGGCCAAGCCAAGCGAAGCCAAGGCAAGCCAAAAATGTTGGTGGCCTTGTTGCTGCGGGCAATCTCCCAGTTCCAGTCCCAGTTCCAGTTGCAGTCCCAATCTCCCAATTCCCCGATTCCCCAGTCTTGGCACAGCGAACGTGTAATTAAAACTTTGAGCAACAGCCACGCAACGACAACTACAATTGACTGACTGCCAGTCTGGCTGCCTCAGGCGCCATCTCCCTCGCCCATATCCACCCTCTCCGTCCTTTCTCCTTGCTCCTCTGCAGTAGTCAGTTTTTGGCGCCTTGTTTTTGGGCGGCGTGCGAACAGTTTGGCTCCTTCTTGATAACGTTTCGCCCGTGGATCGTTGATTGGATCAAATCCAAATCCAAATGCAGCTGACACTGATGGCGCCTGACCCAAGTCCCGGGCCGCAGCCTGAGTCCTGCTCCTGCTCCTGCTCCTGCTGCTGCTGCTGCTGCTCCTGCTGCTGGTCTGTTGTGTCGTGAGATTTGCGTAAATGATTTTGATAGATTTGATGGGATTTGTGCGCGGGTTTTTATGCACAGCAGCTCCTTAACCCCCATCCCCCATCCCCAACCATTTACGGCTGCGAAATGGGTTTTCGAGCAGCAGAGCTCTCAAGCTGATTACAAGCTCAAGGCTTTGCCACACTTCCTGTCTTTGTGTGTGTGTGTAAAGCTTCACTTTCCTTTGCTTTGGCTTTAATTCTCGCCATTTCCGGACACGGACACGAAAATGCACTACACACAAATTAGAGTGCAAAAAAAGTAGAAGGAGGAGGAGAGGACGTCGAGACGCGTGTTGCAAATTGATTTTTTGTGTCTACTTCGCCTCACCAGTTGCCAGTTCCCGGTTGCCGGTTGCCACTTACTCCACCAGCTACTTTCTACACGCGCGTAATCTGTGCTTAGAGCGCTTCGCTCTCCTTCCCGCTAAAGCTCTACTAGTCTCCGTCTCCTTCTCCCCTTTCTCTCTCTCCCCTGACATGCATTTGCATATTAATCTGGCCAGGAGCAGCCGCTCCAACGACCCCAAAATTACATGAAACTACACATTTTGGTTTGTCACCTCGGCGCACAGCAAGTAATCAGCTCTCTATGTCTATGTGTGTGTGTGTGTGCGCTTTGTGTGTTGTGTTGTGTTGTGTTGTGCGCCGCTTTCGGCAATCGCATGGCCACCTCCGCCTCCACCTCCACTCTGCCCCGCACAGCTCCTAAATGTATGCAAATGAGGGCCAACGAGGACGGCGGCAGCTGCTCTCAAGGCGACTTAACGCCTGCTTAATGAACATAAATTAGTCACCAGGTGTCACGTTGCCTCACGCTGGGCGTGTCAGTGGGCGGCACGCCAGCAAAGATGGGGGTAGGGAGTAAACGCATTTATATATCAATTTGTAGAACATGCCTATGCTACATTGTTGTTTCCCAAGGTCTTTAAGTCCTTTAGACTAAATTATTTAGAGCAAATCTTAAAAATGTTGTCGATCTGGCAACACCAAGCAGCTACTTGAGAAACGATTAAAGACAAAAGACAATCTTCTGCGTAAAATGCACTTTAAAGTTGACCTTCAATTCAGCGCACAAAATACTTTCGGCCCTTTCAAATACAACTCTAAATTTTGCGCGATCTGGCAACACGGAGTATGTAAATGCACTCATTAAGTTGGCTGCGCCTCACTTTGCTCAAGCTACACTCTATCTATTGTACGCAATCAAGCTGAATTCATATGATTAACAACCAATTTGGTCGATTCGCGTTCTCCATTACGCTATTCCCAGTTGGATATGGTAGTTGGCCGTTGATTGGGTTTCGCTTCAGTTTCGCTGCCATAATACAATTTGTTGCACATCCGGCTGGAGTCCACTCGGATTTCCTCGCACCGCATCCTGCGCCCGGGCAGCACTTTGATGCAATTAGTTTGGGAGCATTTCGCATTCAGGTGTATGTAATATGACTCAACGGCAATTCAGAATTGATTGATGGGTATCCATGTATCCATGTAAATGCCCGGCAGCCGAGTATGAGTATACTCATGAATATTGAATGATAACATGTCAGCCATAATCGCATTTCGATTGCCCTCGCACTGCATTCGCTTTAATGGGGAGAATTAAGCAGCCAAGAAGTGCCTTTTAATTGCCCGTTCCACACGCTCTCATTCATTTTCTAATGGACCTTCCAGCCGAAGAGCTGCTCAAACACTCGAATGCGAGCCGAGTCATTAAAGTTTTGACCCCATTCGCCGGGCTGGACTCCAAGTGCACCTTTTGACCCAGTTTATTGACTCTTGCCTTCAATTACAGTTCGCTAATCATTGCCTTTGGCTCATTACAAATGTCAATCCCGTTGAGTGCCCGCCCCCAGCCTTGTCATCAGACAGTTACAATGGGATTAATGGGCTCCCCTTTAAGTTCGGAGCGAACACAATTTGACCGCAATAAAATCAATAGCAAAACACACACGCAGCAGCCACTGACCAAGTGGAGGGTGTAAAAACCGCGGGCAGATGGTCTCTCCGGATCGGAGTTTGCAGCAGCTCCTAATACCACAAGGGCAGAGCGGCTGCTTATGTGAAGTGCTGCACTGCGGCCGGGCAAATCCCACACAAAGCCCATGTTGGTCAGCCGAAACGCTCGCTCTCTCCTGGCCAGGCTCACAGGATAACAGGATAACAGGCTAACTGGGTAACAGGCAACAAAGGCAACATCCGCTGGCGACTTCCGTTTGCCTCTCTGCGGCTGACAGGAAGCAATCAATAGTGTAATGGCAGACAAAAGCATCCGCCATAGTTTGGCACTAGCCTGACACAACCTGCATAGATCGGGTCGGGCAGGAGCAAAGGGAGATTAAGGACCAACAAAAAAAACGAACAAAATTATGGGGAAAGAAATGCAAAAACTGAGCTTACATCAACTGACAGCTGCGCAATTTGTCAACCTTTGCCCAGGGCGAGCCGACCCCCTGCTGCGCCACGCCCCTCACCTGACCAGACTTAAGCCCCGTCGCACATTAAATTGTCCCCTTTACCCTTCCACCCCTCTGCCCCCTCTTTTAGCTTTGTCGCAAATGTAAATAATGCGTTTTAATCAAAAGAACAACAGTGGAAAATCCATTAACGGCGTACGTGCCGCACCCCAGTTGCTTCGCTTGCCCCAAAAGGGGGGACACTTGTCGGGTTACCCCCCGCCTCCTCATCCCCTCCTCAACTTTGCTTCGGCCTAGGCTTAACTTTTCGCATGCTGCGCGCGTCATTTGCAGGTTGATTTACAAATTTCTTTAATGAGGCGACGACAACATTTTTAATTAGCACCTGTTCAGGTTGCACGAATCTCTCTCGTAATCTCCATAAAATACTCTAGTCTGGGCGTGCTCCATGGAAATTAATTTCCAACTTTGCGCTATCTATGCTCCCCTCCTTCCCATCTCTCCCTCCTTCCTTCCTTCGCTTCGCTTGCTCACGCACTTCTTCAAGTTCGCCCTCAAATGATGCCATTCGAATGCGTCGCGTAGCGTGGAGGAGGAGCTGGAGGTGGAGCTGGAGTTGGCTGCTGTGTCGCCCCACGTAACCCATTCGCTCCATGTACTTGCTCGACATCTTCAACCGCAGCAGCCACTTACGCCCCTCCTCCCTCCCCCCTCCCCCTCCCTCACAAGCCTATGTGAGCTTACTTCTGATCCAATATCCTAATGCCTTTCTATGTTCGCTTCGCTTTGGCGCTGCACATGGCGTGTAGCTGGCGTAGGCACCAGCTCACACTCAGACTTCCCGCAGTTAGTGGTTCCCTCCCCCTCCCCCCTCCGCCCACTCTGACTCAAAGCTTTTGTTGGTGTTGTTGCAATAATATTTTGCAAGTGTTTCTAAACAAGCACAAAGTCATGTTTCAACAGCTGTAGTCTGGCTTCTGCTCGCTGCTGTTTTTATTGCTATTTACCCCCCTCTTCAGGCCTCTCCCCTTCCCCCAACCCATCCCTGCCTCTTGTGCTGTAATTGTTGTAGTCCCCACAGCCGTTAGCTAAACTTTCGCTGCACATTAAAGCAATTTGGCCAACATTTATAGACTGATTTAATAGAATCAAAAGCGAGGGGTTGGAATGAGAGTAACCAGACGGGAGGGAGGAGTGAGGTGGAGGATTGGGGCGAAGGGAGCCCCACACAAATGAGATATTTCCACACAAGTGAGCAGATCAGGGCCGACAACATTTCAGTGTGTGCACTTGGATATAATTGTTTGACTAAATGAGTGCCTCGCTCCGCTGCCCGGCCCCCGTCTTCCTTTCCTTCCATTCCCTTTGCTTAGTGCTTCAGTTCGCTTAACGCTCACAAATACTCATACGAGTGTGTAACAGGAGAGTGGAGAGGAGAGTGGCTACTGACTATGGCAAGAGAACAGCAATAATTATGGCAAACACCCCCTCCTAGAACTACCCCCGCTCTTCAGACAGAGGCATATGCTATTTTGGGCTCCACTTTTGTTGAAATTCATTTAACTCCCCGTCGCCCCCTCAGAGCGTGAATCCTAGCAGTAGATACGGCAAATGGACGACTCTTGGCATTGTGCATTATCCCAGACATCCAAATATTCCAGATAACCATGTGAATCCATGTGAGTGTCTCGAACGAGTCATGACTGTGGCTGCTCTTGTGCCCCGCGGAAGCCCCCTCGAAACGGTTGCCATAATGAGGACGAAATTGAAGTCTAAACAAACAGAAATCGTTTGGAGAAGAGGCAGAAGAGACAGAAGAGGCCAGGACGAAGCCAGGACGAAGCTGGAGGAATGTTAAGGAATAAGCAGCAAATAAAAATCCAAAGGAGTCTCCATGGAAATTGAATATTTAATTATGCGTCGATGGAAATTGCGTTTGAAGATGGTGACGAAAATGGCCCAAGCAATCATGAGAATGGCGACAGAGCGGACCAAAGATAGCGAGAGAAGAGAGGAGAGAGGAGATGGTACACTTTGTTGTCTAGGAAAAATGTAAACGTTGACGCCGCTTGGGTCTGTGAAATGTTGTTGCTAGAAAAACGAGAAAAGAAGCTGCTAAATAATTTATTCTAATTTGCGACAGATTTGCCAAGGCCAAGAAGTTAAAACGTCAGAGGGATTTCCAGAGAATGCAGAGGGATGCCAGGGAGGGACAAATGTGTAAAAAGTTTTGTAGGGTATCATAAAATTAATTTGAGGGGTTCGTACAGACAATTCTCAAGGTTTAATAGCTGCCTCTTAGGGCTTCATTTGTGGCTTCTAGCTAGTTTAAATTTAGTTTCCCAACTGGAAGAAGAGCAAACGGACGCGTAGACAGAGTATAAGCTTTCCTTTCTGTGTTTGCCTGTTTGTCTGCGACTGTGAAGCTCCATCCGCTTATCTAAACAGACTCACACGCTAACCCCGACCCCTCTTTCCTATCTACTCACATATAGGAACGCGTATCTCCGTAATTCAAGTCTGCTGGCAGTGGGTTTGTGGGTCGCAACACGTGCTACGTGAGCGCCAGGCAAAACTTGCCCCAACCCACAGAAACCCCATGGAATATGGAGAAGGGCTGGCTGGCACCCTGGCGGGCGGCAAGGAGGGTCGCATATTTATGAATGGCTCTTGTTTCGAGTCTAACGCACTTCGGGAGCTTTATCAGCTCGTAAATATAAATTAGAATTTAATTTTTATCGCCGTGGAAAGGTGGCTCGAGTTGGGCATTGGATGGCATTGGATGTGGCTGCAGCCTTGGGAGCAATCGTCTGGTCTGGCGAGTGCCGCAGTTTGGCAACAGAGTGGATCTGGTGGCCTAGGCAACCGACCGACCCATTGCAGGCTGAACTTCAACGGGATTCATTTCCATTTGTTGCTGACGCATGGCACGTGTCACAACATATCAAAGGCATTGGTTTACCTGAGGGCAGGCAGTTGCCTGCTGCAATCAACCCCCAGGAGGAAAATCGTGTGGCCACAAAATCAGACTTCAGGGCAGATGGCGATTGGAATTGGAACTCACCTGGGTTAGCTGGGAGGAGGCGTAGTAGGATATTCTCGAGGGACAGACTGATTCTGGCTTTGAGTAAATGGTCTCCCCGTTCTGGTCTCCCATTGGCAGCAGGGCGGTGGCGTAGGGTGTGGGTGTGGGCGAGCTGCGGAACCCTGTAGGGAAATAAATAGTTTGGGGATCGATAAGTAAGTGCTGGGACTACGAAGAGGGGGGATAACTTACGGTCGAATATGCTGCACGACTTTTTGGTCTCTGCTGGATATTTATTGAGGCTGGTGATGGTCGCGTAGGATCCGGTGGCACTCGGCTGTCGACCTAAAGATCAAGGCGAATGAACAGATTCTGATGACTGCCATAACCCACCATAGTGAAGCTGGTGCTAATGGAATGGCAAGAGAATGGCAATGTAATAAATGAGGGTCAATTTTAGGAAGCTAATTGAATTGATAGACCCATCAATGGGACTTACTGTAGCGAGTCCTGGCGCAGCTGCTTGCGAGCCCGCACATACATCATGCTAGCCACGAGGCCTACGGCTAAAACTAGGCCCAGAGCGCAGGCAGCGGCGCTCATCAAAGCCGGTCCTTGGGAAGGGGCGTGGGCTGGGGCCGGCGACTGGTTTGGTTCGGGTGAGATGCCTGGGATGCAATCGGAACGGACAATATGCGAATGACAGTCGGAGATTGGAAGGAATGGTTACTTACCCTTGGCACAGATCTTGTTGCGCTTGAAGTGGAGCCGGGTGTCGTTGAAGCGGGGAGGTCCCTGCACTACCATGTTGACATTGACCGGCAGTTGGAGGCTGGCGTTGCCGGTGCAGGGCAGGTAGACCAGGAAGGACTCGATCTCCTGCGGCACCAGACCCTTGTGTGGAATGCTCAGCGTGGGTGTACCCAGTGCGTCCTGGTCGTTCGCATATTCGATGCTGATAGTGTAGCGCAGCTACCAGTGGGATAGCCAGTTAATGGAGTGCAAATCAAATTGGAAGTGAACTGGATGGAAGGGGGTAAAGGGTCAGGTGGCTACGGGATAAGCAATGAGATTCTGCCAGAAGAACTCCAGCTCGTGCACATCTGCCGGGACGGGAACGGTGAAGTGCATCGCGTATGTGTTAATGGCTCCCTCGTGCACGTAGAACAAATCCGCCTCCAGCCCTGCGAACGCGAATAGATGGAGGATGAGATTGGGTGGCGGATGCATTGCAGGCATAAAGAGAAAGTTTATTTCACAATTTGCTTTGTTACGCCTTCCCCTTGGCATTCCTTCTTTGGACTTTCTACTGCTGTGCAAACTTTGTGCATGCTGTGTTTATTTTACCCGCAGTCGATGACTCTCCCCCTCTTTCCGCCTCCAACTGTATCTACCTTTCAGCTTCAACGGAAATTGATTTCCTCGACAACTCAACAACGGGGGGTGGCAGCGGGTTTGCAGCGGGTGAGCCAAGTTCGGTAAACAAAACCCAAGACACAATAATAATCGAAATCGAATCCGTCACCAGCAGGCGACAATGCAAGGAGCGTCAATTGGTTCTCGCTCTCGGGTTGCCTCGAATGACGCCCGACAGGCGTCCGAGGGGAGCAGCGGGATGTGAATGGGGTGAGACCAAATATTAAAAGGTGTCAAGTGTTGTCTAACTCGATTTGAGACGAGACGAGACAGCAGCAACATCATCATCATCCTTCGCTTTGTGTAACTTTAACTAGCTACGCGAACGTCCTAATCTCTGACCCCGACCCTGGCAGCTCTAAGCCCCTGTCCCCCATCCCTCTGGCAGTGAAAGACGAGCTGCTCAAGTTAAAAAGACGTGAAATTAAATTTCTTCATCCGCTTTCATTGTTGTCTCTGCCTGACTCTCCCTTCTGCCTTCCCTACTCTTACTGGGCTGCTTTATGTTGCATCATTTACTCTTTGGGATCAGACTAAGACGCGTCCGCAAACGTCTTGGCCTTGCTTTGCATTGAAAGTCGCAAATGCTGTTTACTCTCCTCTACTTGCCTGCCAGTCCCCCTCTCCTCTCCACTCCACCCTCCCTCCCTTCAGCCTTTTCACTGTGCGTCTGTGCCGGATGTTGAGTGTTGCGTTTCCGGTGGAGGCAGAAGCGAGAAGCGCGTATGTGATTGTGCGTGCAGTTAGTATAGAAGATAGAAAGGCGCTTGCGCGATTCTTAAAACAATTTCAAATCCAATTACAGAACAAGAAAAAGCATTTTTCGTTAGCTTCCTTCTATTCATGACTTGTCTAAGAACTTCCCCAATTCTTACGCCGTTTCCTTTACAGTTTCATTTTGTTTTTGAATTCGAAATTGTTATGCACCCCGCTGTCTCTGCGGCTCCCCCAGGCTACTTAAACTGTGCTACTTTCCTTTTACGTTTCCCGCTGACAAACTGCACGGTTCTCTGCCATGGGGTGGCATGGGAGAAGAGGAGCTGCACTACCTCGTTATTCATCCATTTAGGGGAATGCGCCGCAGACTAAACAAAAAACACAAACATAACCTCAAAGTGAGTCACATTAAATATGCACAAACACACGAAAAGGACAATGTCACTCAGCCCGAGTTCGTCCTAGGACAACAATGACAAAAGGTGCCTCAAGAGGTGGAAGAGAGGACTTGTAACCGCAAAGGGATTGAGAGAGGGAATGCACTTGTGTCAGGCTTAATTAATTCAGTTCTGATTGAAAACGGATGTGATTCAGTCTCAAAGAGACTTTCAACTTTTCGATTGGCCTCTTTAGCGAATTTAAGCCACAGACTGAAAGCATCTTTAATTTCCGTGAGTTCGTTTTCGCTCTGCATCTAAGCACGGTGTTTCTGGAGATAAGGAGGACACCCAGCTTGGTTACGGTTCCAAGTCCTGCTCCGTCGAACTTTGGCCGTCTTTCATATCACGCGCCTTGCACAGCGCCAACTTTGCCGTCGCCTGGGAAAGTTTTGGCTCGTTCAGGAGTCTGCCTTGTCCCAGTAAGTTTCCCCGGGTCCCCCCTGCTGCTTGCCGCCTCTCTAGCATAATTATAATACCTGCGATTGTCTGAATGGCTTCGCCACACACACGTGACGCTGCAACCGCAGATGCTCGCTGGCAGAGCAGGAGGTGGAACTAGAGAGGAAGGATTTGGAAGGGGCGAGACTGAGGGTGGAGGACCGAGTCTGGGTCGGCTTTGACAATGCCAGCACACAATTTGCATAAAAGATTAAGAGGATAATTAGTGTCATTAGCTGGCAGCCGCTTTGAAGGAGTGCAACGTGCATTTTCTGAAATTATCATCCTGACTGTCGCCGTAGCCCAGCCGCTAGCTTCTCTCCTTTTCTATAAGCGACACCTGTACAGGGTTTATCCCTTTGCTTTGAATCGGAGTCGAGTTCGCTATTTAATTGGCATAGTTTAACATTTTTCACACCTTCGTTTTATGCGTTTCTTCCAACTTATCTCGCCTTACTTAACAATAAAGCAAATCGACACCGAAACACCAGGCTTTTATGCGAGGGTGCGGGGTAAAAGGTCGAGGGTTGCTTTATTAATGTGGCGATTTTCGGGCTGTTTTCTATTCATTAAAAATAATTTTCTTTTGCATTAACTTTTAATTTAAAGGGAAATTTCGGAGCTAGAGCTAGGTGGGAGAAAGCTCTAGACCTAGAAAGGTCCTTTTCCTTGTGGTGTTCCCCGTTCGGGCTCAAGAAATGTGCACATCAAAGTGAAACTTGTTGAAATTGCATTTTTACGCGTCCTTGCACAGCGAGCACTAGAACTGGAGTGGGCAAGGGTGGGGGTGGGGCAACCCTCCCCAACTGGTGGCTGACGCTGGTGTCGCTGGCAACTCTGGGACGAACATTGCTCGTTGCTGGGGCAACGCGACTCGCTGGAAGGCAGAGCGCAAAATCTTCAACAAAAGCGTAAAAAATATTTAATTTTAATGTTGTCGTCACTCCATCGAGGGAAAAGGTATCGAGCTATATTTATATATAAGTATAGTTAGAAGCAGCCAGAAAAGAAATCGTTTAACTCATGTTTACAGCTCGCTTTATGGAACAAACTTTCAGATTGTACAAGGGAGTGAGGTGAAGGGGGGTAGGGGGGTTGCTGAAGGGAGCTGTGTACTCGATTTTTATTGCGGGAATGCATCACGTCAATCACAGCCAGCCAGCAATGGGAGACATGCCGCAGAGCGAAGTTATTCGAGAAATACGTATGTTGAATGAGGGAAAGGGAACTGAAACAGAGAGAGAGAGAGAGATGGGTTTTGGGTTAGGGTTTGAGATTGGGTCATGCAGCTATGACGCGTCTTCCACATGAAAAAACAGTCATAGAGACATATGCGGAGAAGGATGAGGGGACCTGAAAATAAATCATGCAACGGCATGTCGCACTGTGGATGGGAAGGGGGAGAGGGCGGAGTTGGACGGGTCAGTTTGTTTGATTTCAAGCTGCTTGTTAATTTTGAAATGGAAACAGAGCCAGAGGGTGGCAAATATTGTGAGGGAGGGGCTGTTAACTGGTCGTTAAAAACATAACGAGCTCTGTGGATGGGGTGGAAAAGAAGAAGAGGAAGAGTAAGAGGAAGAAGGGTATCTGTAGGAAGTGAGAAATGGAATCTCTGGAAATCGCGCATCGCACAGGATATTACAAAGAGCAACAAACAAAGTGGAAGATTCTTTGAGTTGTCGCTAATGAAATCCGATTTGCATTGAAGGATGCCAAGGATGAAGGGTCAGAGGGAGCCAAGGGCCGCTTTGTGAAGTGTCAATTGCTCGGGCGAGCAGCTCATGGCTCAGCACACTCGAATGCAGTCTCAGAAAGAAGTGCAAAGAAGGGAATCGCAGAACGAAAGGGGAGTGCTGGATACAAGCAAAGCAAGTAGAGGGAAGGAAGGAAGGGGAGGTGGACATGCTGACCTAGTAACGCGGGCGACAGCTGCAGCTCAAAGCTGTTTGGCCATTCATCAATCTGCGCCTCGTGCGGACCTTGTGTGGATTATTTTTATGCTGTTCAACTAATTGAAGTGCCGTGATTCGGCGATTAGGAGTAACCAGGAGGAGTGGCAGTGGGAACTAGGACTGCGATTGAGCCTGCATAATGAGATGGAAGCATAATGCTCCAATTACACTTAAGTGCCGGAAAATGCTGTGCACAGCTAGCATAGAGGACGAATGATGAACTGGTGGCCAAAGGGAGTCGGAGGGCGAATTGGATCCGCCCCGACTCACATTTTGGAGCCATGAACCATTAATCAACGTGAGGCAAAGGACGCGACGGGCACGACGTCATTCCGCCTTGGCACGCCGAGCGAATGCCTATTACTGTAACTATTCTCGAGGATTCGTATTGGGTAGGGGCGAGGCCTGGCCCAAGGTCGATCTGGAGGCACTTGAATAGCTGGCGCCATCAATAACGAGGCCTCGCGTTGAGCAACAAAACGGGAAAACAGCAAAACAAACAACAAAGTGCGCCGCACCGGTCTGTGAAGTCGTTATCAGCAGGGTGGGAGACAGGGAAAAAATGGGAGGGGTGGGGGGTGGCTAAGCATGGCAGGCAGCCACTTGCAGCTGTCAACAGGATGGAGGAGGTGCGAGGTGGAGGTGGAGGTGCGAGGGTGGCTCCGGCTACAGCCGGAAATCGATTTGTGTGGATTTGTTTTGTCGTGTTTTCGCGTAACTTTTGTGGTCGTCCGCCTCCTCCTCTTCTTCCCGACGTCGTCGTCGTCGTCGTCGTCATGGTCAACAATTATTTTGGAACTATTAATGACTGCGACGTGGTCTATGCCTACGCCTCCCCTACACCCTTATCCCTCCTTGACTGGGGTTGTTTGTTTTTCCTGTTGAGGAGCAATGAATTTGTCCTGTCGCACTTTGCCATTCAACTATTAATCATATCTGTGGGGCGGGGTTTGAGGCGTGGCTCGAAGCTGGAGCAACTGTCCCAACGATTACTTTCAAATCGAAACATACTTTCCCTCCCAGAAATAGGTCTCACATGTGGACTTACCCATCAGTTTCATCACCTCGTGGTGGCTGATAAATATGTTTAGATATCCGCTGACCAAAGGTAGCTGCCAGGTGATCCAAGAGATCCAGAGGAGCTGCAGCAGGGAGCTGCGCTTGGCGGCCATACTTAGCATGAGGAGAACCTCCTCTTCCTACTCCTGGTTCAAGTGTTATATTGATGGGGATGCTTATTTGGGAGGCAGACGTGCAGATAATAACTTGTCAGAGCATGTGACGCCACAATTGGAGCTCATTCCAACGGATCTCCCACATGAATGCCCACGTGGAGATGGGCTCCCCTTTGGCTCAGCCAATTTCAATGTGTTGCCATTGAAACGTTCCGGAGGCACAGACGAGACTCTTCCGTTTGGGCCTGAGCTCGGTTTTGATATGGTTGCCAGTTGCCAATTGGGAAACGGCGACGCGGCTCTGAGAAATGCGTTAAAATCAAATTCCGGCAACAGCAACTGCTGCTAACAGTTCCGGATGCGGCCACAAAGCGACGAGCAGCTCTGCGTGGACTCTGTCTGGCAAATTCGGAACTTTTCAGGCGCTGCAGCCTCTGCCTCTGCCTCTGACTGTCCCCTTCTACGGACTGGGTTCAACTTTTCCAGTTTTGTTTTTAATGCGGTTGCTTCTGTTGTTGTTGTTGCTGCTGAGTTCGCCTGTCGACTGCAAGCGGCATCAGCATTTCGTTAGCTTTTTTATTGGCCACTGCCTCCTTTTCGTCTCCTTTGCTGCTGCTGGTGGTTTAGCTCGTCACGTTGGCAACGTCTCGCCCGCTGGTCAGTGGCTAGTTCCAGTTGCTGGTGTCGAGCACGTGTCCTGCTTGTCCTCCTTGTCCTGGTGGCCTTTTTGTGCCGTCTGCTCGACTCGTCGGTTGTCCTGTTCGTTCGTTCCACGCAGAGTCCTGTTGAATAGAAAGTGATTTAGTTGACTTTCGCACAGACGACGAAGAGACGGTGACACTCTGTGGTGCGAGAGTGTGTGGTGCGAGAGTGTGTGTGAGAGGAGTGTGTGGTGCTGTGGTTGAGTGGCTTTGTTGTTTGTTTCGAAAATAATTTGTGAATGTGCAGCTCAAAGAAAGTTTTCTGCCTGCAAAAGTAATTACAAAGTTGAAAAAAGATTAACAGCTTCCAGAATCTCACATCCAACACTTCTAGTGGAATAGGGGAAAGGGGAAAGGGAACAGCAGGAGTTCCTCTTTAGATGGAAACTCACATGAGATGCTTCGACTGATCTTTTAATAAATTCGTGTTAATATTTCGTGTGTTTCTCTGCTCTAAATTATTCAGTAGGAAATGGGAGGGCGACCGAGAAAAATACGATAAACTTTTTGTTTGCAAAAATGTTTGTGTGGATTTTGTGGTTGAAGAAGTGGAAGGGGCGCCCCTCCCTCTTTCTGCTTGCGTGCAGCTACACGAATGGAATTCCAGGTGCAGTTAGAACCAGAACCAGAACCAAAGCCAAAACAGTTAGCCAGGTGGAAAGTCAAGAGTTGGCATGGAAATGGAAATGCAAATGGAAGGGAAGAGGAAGAGGAATAGGAAGAGCGGCCGTCAAGTGCCTCCAAATGAAATTGTTGCCAAGAAACCGACTTCCAATTCCACCTGCCCGCCCCCTCCTCCTTCCTCCTTCCTGCTCTTGATACCTTCTCCAATCTCCATGGCTGCAGATTGGGAATTGTTTCTGGGTTTTTTGGCCGCAATAAAAATCGAAATCAGAAAACTTTGTTGCCGCTGCCACTTCTTTGGCTTTTCGTTCACTCTGTTTTTCCACGGCTATGGAAAAGTGCTTAAAGTTTTGCAATGCGCGGTCAAGGCAGCTGTGGGCGTGGCAGCATTGCAGCCGTGGAATGTGGAATGCGAAGTGTGGCAGGGATTTAATTAAACTTATCTGAGATGAGAGCGGCCACCGCAAGGATGCGCCAGGCGACGACTCAGTTGATTAAGAGCCAGATCATCAGGACGTCGACTGCAGCTCAGATCCCTGCCAGGCAGCCACAGCTCAAAGCTGAAGCTGAAGCTGAAGCTGAAGCCGATGCCATTCAGCAAGTTCATTAATAATTCAAAAGACAAATAACAAAATGTAAGTGCACATGTGTGTGCGGCTGTGTGTGGGGGTGTGTATGGGGGTGTGTGTCCCTTGTGTGTATTTGTGTTGACATTGCGAGGAATGTAACTGATTTAAATGGAGCAGCAGACAAACAGCCTGCAGGCAGCAGGCATCAGCAGGAGGCAAGCAGCTCCCCTCCCCTCAGCTTGCTTTCAGTCCAACAAGTCGCGAGCGCGTGGCAAACACTCGCTGGCAGTTGGGAGGCTGCCTTCCCTCCCAGTGGAGGAGCGTTCGACGTCATCATCGATAACATATTAACGACGTCAACTCAATCATAATCAGAAGGAAGCGAGGGGCGGTATATCTCCCGACCGGGACAGCGACAGGGACAGAGAGTTGTCTGTCGCAGACGGAATCGTGAAACTGGGGAGCCAATGCTGAAAATTTTCTGCTTAGTCACACGCATCATCAGTCAGTGCTCCATTCCTCGACTCGGCGCCACGCCTCCCTCGACCACCCGCCCGCCCACTGCGCGCGAGTGACAAATTGAGCGACGGGCTTTGTCTTTGGCTTGAAGATGATGTTCGGGCTGCGTCAGGATGCTGATGATGACAATGTGAGTCCTGGCAGTTGTGTCAAAAAACTTTTCAATTACATGATGTGGAGTCTAATGAATAATCATATCTCTCCCTCTCTCTCTCTTACCCCTCTGGCCGCAACCCTAACTAACTATTATCATTAGCTTCATGGATTTCCCCTTCTTTGTTAATTTTTGGTTGCGCAGAATATTTATTGATGTTCATTCCATTTAATCTTTAGCTTTCGGATGTCGGATGTGGGCGTCTTCGCTTGGGGCGTGGCACATCAGACAGGCTCGTTTCAATTATAAAATGGCTTTCATTTCTAATTGAATCCGTGCGTCGGCGAGTCGAGCTAAGTAAATGTTATTGCCCCCGTCAATTTCCATTAGCCCCCGCCCCTGTGTTTCGGCACCTGGCGCCATGGCGACTTTAATTGTAAGGCAGACCACGTTGTCATTGCCGCCGGCTGGGATTGGCCGTCGGGTTGTTGTGCTTTCAATTATTTTAGCGACCAGAATCAAGAATCAACTTCGGATATATATGTATATTCTAACTTACGAGTGGCAAATGAAAACAGATTTAATATAATCTTCAATTTCCCTGGTTATTAAAGTGCTTGAAATCTATTTATGGAATTCGGGATTAAACAAAACAGAATGCGAAAAATGCGAATAATACGAAAAATCAACTTCGTAGCGGGAAAGTTGATGGAATGCGATGCCAGAGTGGAATTTTAGCAGACCCGGCCGGCGGCTGTTTGCTCATTTGGCAAATAGTTGTTGGCTCAATTTCGAGCCAAAAAGTATCGAATTGCATTTCAACTTAGTTTTATGAGCTCTCATTGTTCCAGTCCAGCTAGTCCGGATATTGTGCTGTGCGTGGAATAGCCGCCGGTTCAGTGCTTGCCCATTAACTTTAATGTTCTCCACATATTCTCGACTATAAACAAGTGAGAAAATGCAACATGAGTGGACCGGACTGCGGGGCGAACTTCATTAAACTCGCGTAAATGTTGAACACAAAATAACGCGCACAAAATTAAAATAAACACACAAAATGCCAGCCACGAATTTTCTATCCTGTATAGCTATACATACTATATATACAGTCCACAACTCGCCCCCTAAAATGGCAGACAAATTTAAAGCGATAAATTTTGATAACTGATTAAAAATAACGAGCGACATTCGAGCTTTTGTTTACCTGCCACGCGGCCGTGTTGCTGTGGCTGTTCAATGCCTACATTATCTGTTTAAGGGGTATATTGGTGCCATAAAATATCTGATATACCCATTCATAATTGGGCTTTTGTTTCTTCCTTAACTACCCAATAGCTACTGCTCCAAATCTCTAGGGTATGTCGAGCAAATAACTTATTCGAATGAAGTTTCTACTTAAAATTCTCAAGTAAATCCCTTCTTTTTTGCTCTTTGGTAACAGTAAAGGGTATCTATTAGTCGATAACGATTGAATAGCGCGCTAAATTGCGCATTATACGTTGGTCAACGCATTTGTAGCAACTTTTTTTGCTGCGCCCAAATCGAAACATTTTTGTTTTCCCAGCTAATTTGTATGGGCAATTAATTTAAATTAGGCATGGTCTTTGATGGGGCGGTGGGAAGGGGGAGGGGAGGGTAGGGGAGAGTATGAAAGGAGAATTGTTTAAGTTGGAATAACCTGGCAGATAATGGCTACTAAAGCTGTCACATGTGTGTGCAGCCAGCAACAGCCACAAATGTTATTAAAAAGGGTATAAAAGAATGGGCGTAAAATATTTCTATGTATGGCAAATTAATAATACACTTAAAGCAAAACCCGTATTTAATCAATTGAGTTAAAAAGCAAATTCAATATAAATACAAAATATGCTTTCATATTTTATATAATAAATATAAATGCAAATTAGCATAATACAATATTTAATATTAATTGCATTAAGAGACAAGCTGTTCAGCTGACGTCTGCGTGTGTGTGTGTGTGTGTGTGTGAGTAAATGTGCATATATATTAGTGCGCTTTAAGCTTAAAAGCTCTACAGGCGCCTTTAATCTTGTACGGGATTTGAGAGACGCAGCGTCTGTGAGATGTGTAGGTGTAAAAGCTCTTTTAAAGTACACAATTTATCTTTGTTATTATGGCCCCAAAATTGATAGAATAAATCTTGATGGAATATTGAAATTTAAAACATATCCAATGACGCTCTGTCTGCCTGTCTGCCTGTCTGCAGAGCTTTTGTTCGTGTCATCGTTTTTCGTTTTTGTGGCAGAGCTTATGGGATTTCGAAGAGCGTAAATGTGATTATCATGCAGGGTACGTACCGAAAACCACCTGCCATTGGGATTGGGCCCCGAACGGAGCAGCCATTTGGCATGAAATACAACCTCAATTACGTTTTATAACTCAACACTCGCTGTAGAGCTGAGCTGGGACCCTTGGCTGGGAATTTTCAATATTATGTGGCTGAATTTATTGTGCACAAAGCGACAAAGCGACAAAGTGACAGAATCGCCAGCTAAGCGACACCCTCAGCCCCCACCCAGACTGCGACTGCGACTCCGACTCCGACTGCGTCTGAGACAGAGACTAGGGTCTGGGTCTGGCCAGTCTTTTTATCTACCAAGTGCCCCATAAAAATATCTCGGATTTCAGCTCGGCAGCCACTTTAAAGCGGCAAACAACTTGAGCTAAAAGCAAGACCCCCCCATCCGCAGCCCTGCCCTGCCCTGTACAATGGGCAATAATCATTGATTTATGGCTGTCATTTTGGTTATTAAACTGAAATTTCTTTTTTAAGCAAATCTGTGCTGGCAGTGCTACTGTCTGGCATTGGCAAGAGAAATTCTCGCAACGAATCTAGGCTGAGGCGAACGAACTCTTGACAGCATTTGGAAATTATGCTGCTCGACTTAGCCTACTTAGGCTCATGTCCTCTTGACCGGCTAAGACGCAAATTGAAATATTCGACTCGGTATGCCGTGTCCGTGCTTAATCTATGCCCATTCCCATTCCCTAGCCTAAGCTCACTCAATGGAACCGAGGCCACAACACCAAACAGGCAAAGGGAATTCAAGTTGAGCGTATGCGACGAATGGATACCCTGTGTGCTCTACTGAGGCAGCCCAGAACTACTCGGGCATTGTTTTACTTGGAAAAAACACTAATATGGGTTTATAATTTATAATAAATTCATGTTGTGTTTGATAAGTAAAATTTACAGACCAATTTTTGGCTCTAGCTATAAAGATTTGGGACTCCAAAAAGGTCTATTTGTTTTT